CCTCTCTCTGGATCTGCCCCTGGGGCTGTCCCGTGACCTCTCTCTGGATCTGCCCCTGGGGCTGTCCCGGGGCCTCTCTCTTGATCTGCCTCTGGGGCTGTCCCTGGGCCTTTTCCTGAGCCTGTTTCTGGGCCTGCCCCTGGGCCGCCAGGCTTCCCGGCCCCTTGGGGTCCCCTGGAGGTACGGCTAGGTTCTTGGCAGTCCTGGTGCCCTCTCCCTGCACTGCTCTCCTCCCCTGCTCCTCCCAGAGTCCCCATGGACGCTGCTGACCTTGGTCACTGTGCTGGCAGGCACCCCCAACCCCAATGGCCATCCCTTTGTCCCCACCCAGATCCTGCGCCCACTGTGTCTGAGGTTCTTTTGCTGCGGTCAGCACAACCTTCAGGCCCAAAGGCGTCCCGCTCTTCCCTGCATCACTGGGCTCAGGGGCCTCCTCCTGCACCTGGCAACTCTGTTGCCTCCCCAGGTCTGCCTGGGTCGGGGGACGCTTCTGAGATTCACCCCGCTGGGTCGGGGGACACTTCTGGGTTTCACTTGCCTGGGTTGGGCGATGTTTCTGGGCTTCACCTGCCTGGGTCCTGGGCTCGGAAACACTGGCCCAGAGTGTTGCCTGTGTGTCACCAGCAGTAGGGGGCAGGGGTGCCTGTACATGGGAAGGGTCCCGCTGGTGGGTACCACCCAACCACCCCGTGTCCGCCTTTGCAGGAGGCACAACAGGAAACAGATGGTCAGGCTCTGCCCCACGGGGAGAGTCAATGCCCTCTCTGCCCTTTCCCTGTGGGTTCTCAGAAGGCGATGGTGGGCTGCCAGGGCCATGGCTGGGGGACCCTGCCACACTCCCTGCCTGTGTTCTGGGATGATCGGAAGCAGGAGTTCCAGACTTTGTGCCTTTACCCAGAAGGCTTTCTTCCACAGTCACATCCTTTCTGTCTCCCGTGGCTGCTGATGCATTTGAAATGTGTAATCGGGGCACCTCTAGGTGCCGGGCGAGGGCTGCAGCGTCCTCTGGGTGCCAAGCGAGGGCTGCAGC